CCCCAAAACCCCAAAACCCCAAAACCCCATGAATCTAGGAAATTAAGATTAGATAAAAAGTTTAATTTCAATGAAATTCATTAAAACAAAATAAATAATCATTAACTTAATTATTCAAGAAATGTAATAAAAAGAAGACAATAATTCATTGAAAAATCTAATCAATAGTATTAATTAGGAATTTCAAACTTATTAGCCTGCTGCAGAAAATAAGTAGCTGCTAGACTAAGCTGTTAAATAGACTATTGAGTCTGCTAGAAAAATGGCCAATAAATAAAACCAATCTACTCAAAGGTAAAGTGAAAACTAAAAACAGAATGGATTCTTCTAAAAACGGCAATTTTCATAATCAAATCTTCATCGAAGAAATCCATCAGACTAGTATCAAGACTAAAAGGGAAGTGCATTCAAGGGTGATGAGAGAGCAACTGGCTTTTAGACGACAAGAGGATTTTTAAGAAGTGGGGGAAATACTGGGAACAATAATTTCTTCAATAGTTAGTTTACCACTATGAATAACATTAACGTAAACCTAAACTTCCAAGATCAAAATATGAGAAGTCAGGGTCAGATATCAAATCCAGATATAATTAAGCTAAGAGAGTAAGTTTCAAATAATCTGAAGGACCTTGAACTCAAGAAATTAGCTCTATCTCATTAGAAAAAATTCTAAGAGGTTATGAATATCAACTTTAGACAATATTTCTGCTAGAAAAAGGGCTTTCCTAAGGTATTCGAAGAAATTAACAGTGTGAATGTTCTCTCAAGTGAGTTGACTAGGACTCTAAGTTGCTATAAATACGAGCTTTCTTAGATACTATAAGACATAACTGTATCATTCAACTAGATCTTTGAAAATCTATTGGAGCAATGCTACCTAAACGATAAAGACACTCAAACTATAGTCGAGAATAAGATAAAGGAAAATGCTTTGAATGAAAGAGAATTTGAAAAATAAAAACTCCAATTTTAAGAAAAGATTTTCCACCTTAAGTTAAAGATAAAGGCTAAAGATCTTGAGATCAAGTTTGTTAAGGAAACTTCTTAGATGTATGAAGATGAAGTGGCTGCGCTGAGAGATATTATCAAATCAGAAGTTATGAATGCAGAAATTTAACAGATTAAAAAGCGAAGTGGTGGCAACAAGTAAGAGGAAGAGGATAAAGAGGAAAGGAATAAGGTCTTTAAAAGTATTTCTGATAATCCTATGTTTTCAAGTAACCTTACTGATCTTTAGAACATTATGAATGAAATGGAAACAGAGCAATTAAATAAAGAATCTATACTCAAGGATATGGAGAAGTTTCAAAAAGCCATCCTAAGAGCAAATAAGATCAATGCCTCTACCTAAGTTGATGAAGGAGAGCTCTTTTGGAAGCCTTAAAACTTCTTAGGTGGACCTAACAGTGGAGGTATAGTTGGAGGTACCCAAACTAGAGCAGTATCAGACGGGACTTTGACTTAGATAAAATTCAAAGATTAATATCAATTCTAAGTTCCTACTTAAAACATTAATCTAAATTCTAACATGGTCAAATTGAAGAAAGATGATTAAGAGTTCTCTAATAAAATAGGTCTAGACTTGGGCAGGGAAAGTACTGTAAGTAAAGATGGTGTATTTGACATAGCTAAGGTCAAGACTATGGCTTAGGATCTAGCTGATAATTGGAATATACCTACATACATTATTGCCTTCATCTCTAATTCTTTGGATCAAAATTAAGCTGGCAGAGTATTACCGTGGGTATTCTTCAGGAAGTAGATATATGAGATCTACGATGAAAGAATTAAATTTGCTTCTGAGATACAAGGGTTTATCAATTCAAATTACATAGCTTTAGAAGAATTTTTACTGCTTTACTTCCTTAAGAAATACTAACTGAGAAGACTCGCTGAAATAAAGGTTATAGAATTCATAAGTAGTTTAAAATACTATATGAAGATCTGGCCCAGAGCTAAAGTATTCGCTAATTTGGCAGGAATGCTGCAATTGGGAGATTCAATGAGTACAGATGCAAGTAATCACTCATCAGATATATATTTGCAAGAGTTCTTTTACTTCTGCTATTCTTAATATATGAGACTTAAGGATTAACCAAATATGTCTGGTGCGTTATCGTAGAATGGTGCATTAGTTGATTATAATGATGAGTCAACTTATGTGAGTGCTGAGAGAGAGCCCCTCATTACTAGACTTACTTTATTCTGGATGAACTAAAGTGAGATAGCAAAATGGAATCATAAACTGAAGAGATATGTGAAGAAAATACCAGATAATATGGGAAATGAAATAGAATAGTTAGATTTAGACGTATTACTAAGTTTGTACATAGAGGAATTTATAGCTAGAAAGAAAAAAAATCAAAAGACTTTGACAAAGTTGTTTGTCAAGTAATTCTAAGAGCAGGATGGTATATTCTCATTTGATGAGATAAAGTCAATATGCAGAGCAGTTCAACCTGATGAGTCTATATCCCCTCTAATTACTTATCCATAAGAAATATGCTTCTCAAGGACATACTTATTTGCATTAACCAGTGGAACTAACTCTTTTGAGATCACATCTAAAGACTTCTTGGAGTCTGCTTATAGAAACGGTATAGACAATCCTTACCCAATCATATAAAAACGTATTAATCTCTACGGAAATGACATTGATCTTGAAATGCTTTTACAAGAACTGACTCAATCAGAGGGATCTCTGTCTTAGTTCTAAAACTAGCATCTTCCATCTACTTTTGGAAGTGGCACTGGCTCAAATGGCAACAGATCATAGATGAATCGTAGAAACTACAAGGACCCAAGTGGACTATCATTTGGCATGAATGCTCCTGGCTCATCAAGGACCAACGCTGATCTCAGGTAGCTTTCGAATAACAGATCGACTACCGGCTTTAAGGGAGAAGCCAACATCTTCAACTAAAAGAGTGCCTTCGATTAGAATAGAACCTCACCATAAAAAGGTAAACAAGCCCTGGAGACTAAGCTAGTCATTCCATCATTCAATTCATCTACTGCACTATTTGCTCAGCACTTCTCAATACTCAGAGAGCTTAAGAAAAATATTGAGGAACTCAAGAAAAAGAAGGAGTCTAACGAGAACATTAAGGAGCAAAATGTAGTCATGGATAAGATCATTAATCATCTGGATAGTGCTTGTCAGTTCCTTAACTTTCCTGTTCAGATGTGATTCCTTATAAATTAACTATAATCTTAATTTCATCATTAGATTTCTTCAATTTACAGTATAATAGATATGGGGTTTTGGGGTTTTGGGGTTTTGGGG